GTTGAACTACCAGATGAGCCCCTAGATTTCTTTCAGTACTAAATGTTTATGATTTTATAAAACTATAGTACTTATTTTTTAAAAAAATTTTTGTATTTTATAAAATATTACACTTCATCTTTATGTTTTTCCCTTCTTTTTTTAGTATTATTTTTTCATGCCATTTATTTTTCCTTTAACTTTTCATTTATTTCCCTCCTTACTTATTAGAGGTTCTTTTTTTCTTTCTCTTTTTTTTTTTTTTTTTTTGAAAGAGTTGTCAGCCAAGCAGTCATGTTTCTGCAAAAACTAAGGAGATATTTTTTTTTTTTTTTTTAAAAAGAGAATGTTCTCAAGTATCTAAGTTTCCATTCTCCAGGAAAATTTAGATCTTAGTTTGCTATATTTCCTAAGGAATACTTGTTAACTGTTTTGAAGAATTGTAACAAAATATAAAGTAATATATGTATATTTAGGTTAGAATAAAACCTAAGTAATCAGAAGTTTGACAAAGATAACATTCTCTAGCTTCTCGGGGTTATTAAGTTTGTTATCACTATTAAGAAAATGTGTTGTTATTGTTAGATGCTATCAAGTCAATCGTGACTTATAGTGACACCCTGTGACAGAGTAGAACTGCCCTATAGGGTTTTCTAGGCTGTAATCTTTAGGAGAACATATATCCAGGTCTTTCTTCTCTGGAGCTGCTGGGTAGGTTTGTACCACTAACCTTTTAGTTAGCAGCTGAGCACTTAACCATTGCCATACCAGGGCTTTCTTATAATGAAAATACTTTAATGTAATTAGCATGTAATAATTTTAGAGAACATAATATACCTGTTCCCTGTTTACCAGAAAAAAAAAAAAAAATACACACACACATATAAGATGTATTTCTTCTGGAAATAAAAACTAAGAAAACATTAGAAGAGTTGCTACAGTGGGCATTTGAATCTGGGTATCAGCCTTCCTTGTTCCAAGTTTTAAGAAGTTTCCTGTGTTAATAGCTGATTCTTTGCTATTCATCCTGAAGCAAAGTTTGCCCATTAGAAAGTACTAGTCTCATGTTCCAGTTTCCCATTCAGTCTTCCATTTTCCTTTTTCTTAAATAAGCAAAAATTACCTCCAAAGAAAGAAATCCAGCAGTATGTCAAGAGGTCCAAGATAAACAGAAAGTGACTGCATGTGAAACAGATAATTTCTTCATCAGAAGAAACTTTAAAAAAACCAAATGTCTAGTATTCTCAGAGAGATTAAAACATACAACCTCAGTAAAACAGTAATAGAATGTTGTTGTTATTTGCCGTCGAGTCGGCCCCGACTCATAGCGACCCCTCCTTGGGTTTCCGAGGCAGTATCACTATGGAAGTAGGATTGCCTAACCTTCCTTCCAAGGAGTGGGCTGGTGGGTTTGAACCTCCAGCCTTCTGGTGAGCAGTCAAGTGCCTTAGGCACTATGCTACCAGAGCTCCTAGTAATAGAATAGTTTCTTTAAAAAACTCAGACCAAGAAAGAACTCTTGGAAATAGACTATATTTGCACAACTTCAAACAAAATTGGATGGTTTGGAAGATAAACTGAAAACTCTAAATATAGAAGAGAAATAACATATCTGTTATTTAACCAGGAGAAGTTCCAAATGGAGAAATGGCAGGGAAAATTATCAGAAAAATAATAGAAGAAAATATCTAGTGCTTAAAAATAAAAGATTAGATAGATGAGACAAAACGGCTCCAAAATGTAAAAGACTCATACCTAGGCCATTGTTGTGAAAGACATTTCAGCTTTCACAAAGAAAAGTCCTAAATATTTCTAGGAAGGAGAAAGAAAAAAATTCCTTTAACCAAATGATATTCAGATGAGCATAACTAGAATGTAAGCTTCCTGAGGGCAGGGATTTTTATTTTTCTGTCTTTTACTGGTACATTGTGGGAGCTCGAAAATATATATGTTGATTAAAAGAATGACTATAATAAGTATCACCAGCGACACTGAGGGTTTGAGGATAGTGGAACGGTATCTTCCAAGTTCTGAAGGAAAATGGCTTAACCTAGTATACAGAACCTATGAAAATTATCAAGTATGAGGGCAAAATAAAGATATTCTCAGGCATGCAAGAACTGAGAACATTTACCTCCCCACCCATATATGCTTTCTGAAGAAGTTATAGAAGATACAGACCAGCAAAATGATGAAAGCTAGTATAGATGATGACATGTGCTACAAGAAAGTAGTACAACTAACTCAGGAACCCAATAAAAATAATTCTAGAATGACAGTGGTGCAACAAGTCTAAAAAGCAATTGATGGAAATTAAAATACTAAATCTTTGACCATTAAGAAAAATGTCTTTAAGAATGGAATGGATTTTAGGTCACAGATTGGTTGGTTGGTTGGTATGTGCTGTCGAGTCGGACCCGACTCATAGCGACCCCTCCTTGGGTTTCCAAGGCAATATCACTATGGAAGTAGATTGTCCCATCTTCCTTCCAAGGAGTGGCTGGTGGGTTTGAACCGCCAGCCTTCTGGTTAGCAGTCAAGTGCCTTAGGCACTATGATACCAGAGCTCCTAGACCATAGATAGAACGAGTAAAAAAGCTAGTAGATATTAATGATATGATAAGAAATGTATGTGTGTTCTTCTCAGTAAGAAAAAAGGACAATTAGAAATTCTAAGAGTCAGATCTGACTCGATGGCACACAACAACAACAACAACAACAGAAATTCTAAACAAGCAAAAACCCACAGAAGCAGCATGGAGTTGCATGTTGCAGCCATCTAATAAGAGATAAGAGTTAAATCCTCATCTTTTTTAGTCTGAAAGATGAGTATAAGAAACAGAATAAGCATCATAAAGCCATAAACCATTAGATAATAGATTGGGATGATGAGAGATTGTCTTTTTTTTTTTTTTTTGCTACTGTGTGTATTTTACTAACTGATGATGTAAGCATGTGCATAGGAGGTGTGACAGGTAATATTGTTTTGTGGAATCTTCCCTTTGCAGTTGAACTGCAGCTCTGACTTGGGTGTGATAAATCACTGAAAGCTACTTCTGACGCATGCATATAAATAGAATTAATCTGCACTGATACCATTTAATCAACTTTTAACTGTATTTTTAAAATACAGACAAAACTCAAACAAAACTCAAAATCATTTCAGGAAAAAAAATAAAAGGGGTGAGGAACTAGGTTTGCTGGTCTGATAGAGCCTGGTGGAACCACTGACACTATGGCCTCTAGCTGCCCTTCAGATCTGGAATTGAACCCACACCTGTGGTTTCTAGCCAAAGGGGATACAGGCATATGAGTTGAACATTTACCTGAAGTAGATATTCTTTGGAGAGAAAAATCTTGGGAGAAAGAAAGGCTTTGAGAAGGTACACCAGTTAGAGTTTATTGAGCATCTTCTGTGTCACAATTCTGAATACCCAGTTCTGCATCGTTTAATGGTCACAATTCATTATGTGCAATAAGACATTATGTGATTTGGACATATGTGAGCATTGTATTATATACAGGCAGTCCCAGATTATGAATGATTTCCATTCCTAAGTCTGTCTTTAAGTTAAATTTATATATAAGTTGGAACAGTTAGGTCCTGTTTATATCTAATGTCAATTAGTCAAATGTTTGTCTTGCTATATAAGTACGTAATATACCTTTCTATGCATAAAAAACATTGAAGAAAAACTTCTAAATACACTAAAATACCTTTAACATAATAATACAGTAATAATAATGATAATGTCTTGATGCAAATAGTGCCTGTTTGTTTTCATGAGCCATTGAATGTCCATTTAATTTTTAATATAATAAGGTATGTGGGCATTGTGACCAATGATGTATATGCAGTCAGATGTTCCCTGAATGGATGTTATGTGGCACATGGCTTAATTGCTGATTGTTGTGTGATAGTTATTAAATTATTCCATTTAATTTTATAACAATTCTCTTATTATTCTCACTAGCAAATACTTATTTGCTTTATCTCAAACTGGACTTACTAATTTTAGAATAATAATACCCACAATATTAAAAAAAACAACCAAACTCACTGCCATTGAGTCATTTCCAACTCACAGCAACCTCCTTTGGGTTTCCGAGGCTGTAAATCGTTACTGAAGTAGATTGCCCTGTCTTCCTTCTGTGGAGCAGCTGGTGGGTTTGGACTGTTGACAGTTAGCAGTCAAGTGCCTTATCTGCTACACCACCAGAGCTGTTTACCAACAATGTAGTTACTGAAAACAGTTTTTAAAATATTTTTTGGCACTGTTTTTTGTTTGTTTTGAGTTTCATCATACATTTTGCCCCTGCAATGTTTGACTTCATGGGGTGATATAAGGTATTTATTCAAAATGAGAATGCTAACCATTTTTGGGTCATGTTTGCAAATATTTTTTCGTTTAATTTGCTTGATTATTTTTTACGTATTTTTACATATGTAGTCAATCTGACATACTTTTCTTTGTTCTTATTAGCAGATTTTTCTCCCCCCAAAATTCTCCAATTTGATCATTATTCTCGGCTAAATGTCAGCATTTGTGTTTACTATAAATCTTATGGTTCGAAGAGTCAAATTTAGTTAGCCTTTATTGAGAACCATTTTTATGTCAGGCACTTTACATGTTATTTAAATAAGCTATGACAGTATCTTTTCCCCAACCATTGTAAATATGAAAACAAATAAATAAAATTGTATCATCTTTTAGAAAAATATAAACATGTATTTTGATTTTAGTAAGTTTATTGTAATTAGTTGTAGAAATCTAAAAATGGACTATTTCATGACTGTGTGATGAGTCTCCCTGCCTTTCCTTAATTATAGGGGGAAACAGTGTATCTTCAGATGGTTAATGTGAATTTGGAACTACTGGATATATGGAGAAAGCATATTGCATGGAAATGAATAATACCAAGATTTGAAGGCTATAAAAATGTTCTTCAGTGTTGTCATGGACTCTTCAGGAGAAAAGAATCTTGTGAAATTATGTGACTAGAGACCATATTTCAAAATAATGGGGGAAAGAGCAAAAAGTCCAGATAATAATCAAGAAAGAAAGTCAGGAAAACACCGTTACTCTTCCTGTTCATCTGATTTTGAAACTACACCGCAATCTTCTGCCCAGTCTTCAGGGGTCAGCCCCACTTCACCTACAAGTGTTAAGGAAAAAAATCCTAAAAGACACATTTCAGATAGCCAAGTGCATCACCAAGGTAAATATTCTTTAAGAGAATCCTATGGACTTAGAAAACTTATTTTGAGTTGGGAAAAGTTGCATGAAAGAATGTCTTTTATGGTATACATATTGTTATATACTTAGAAATGGGCTGAGAGGTATTTTGAATAGTATACATTTTTATAAATATATAAAATGTTTTAGTACTTTGTATTACCTTTTGTTTTATTTGAAGTCATATATACAGCTAAGGCTTTTAATTTTGTTTTCTTTCTAAAGAAATGTTTGTCTTGGGGTTTCTGAGGTACTGTAAAGGCAAAGAAATTACAAAACCTTTGTATCTTTCTAGATTTTCATTTTGTAAAAGGCGTTGGTATAAAATGGTTAAGGGTCTTTTTTAAATTGTGATTTGGGTGAAGATTTATAGAGCAAAGCAAATTCACTTTCCATACAGCGGTTCACATATACTTTGTCTCATGACATTGACCACAGTTTACCACAATGAAAAAGCTCCCCTCCCACTTCCTCCCCATAGTTACCTCTTCCCAGTGTCCATCCCTCCATGGATTCCTGCCCCCTGAGCTGTCTCCCTGTGCATAAGCAGCCCTTCTTTCTCCCATGATTGTTCTCTCCAAGGAGTTTATCTACCTGAGATAAATGTTCAACTCCTATGCCTGTCTTTTGTTTGGCTGGAAACCACAGGTGTGGGTTCAATTCCAGACCTGAAGGGCAGCTAGGGGCCATAGTCTCAGTGGTTCCACCAGACTCTATCAGACCAGCAAACTTGGGCCCCTTTAAGGGGCATTTTTATAGATTGAGTAAAATTAGTTGGTCTAACCAACTCAATGCTTACTGTAAAAACTCAAATTTAAGTATGGAATTGGGGATTTGGACCACCAATCTAATTTGATTTTTGTTAAACCATGTTAAAATTAAAATGGGATTGAGCATTAGAAATAATAATTCTTATTAAAATGTTACTAGTTACTAAGTAAGTGGTCAAGAAAACCCCCAATGTACTTAGTAACAAAATACGTAAGCATTACATGTGCCTCATAGAAAAATAAACCCAAAAAACCCAAACTCACCGCTGTCGAGTTGATCCTGACTCATAGCAACCCCTCCTTGGGTTTCCGAGTGGTATTTCCACAAAAGCAGATTGCCCAGTTTTCTTTCTAAGGAGTGGCTGATGGGTTTGAACCTCTAGCCTTCTGGTTAGCAGTCAGATAGATACCTTAGACACTCAGCCACCAGAGCTCCCTGTAGAAAAATAAGCTCTGGTCAGTTAGGTAACTATAATATGCATCAGTAAATGCAACAAAGTTATAACAGTAGTGGGGAGTTGCAAGACAGAATGTGATAAAATTGGAGGCTGGACAGAAAAACAGTAGCCAGCTCATGAAACACCTTACATCTCAATGCTGTAGTATTTCTAGACTAGATTGTTCTATTTCTGTGAGAAATAGTTAGCCATTGAAAGAATTTAAGCAGGAGTGGTTAATGGATTCAGCTGCCAGAGAAAGATGAGACAATCTTGGAAATCCTATGAAGCAGTTCTACTCTATTCTGTAGGGTCTCTGTGAGTTGGAATCGGCTTGGTGGCAGTGGATTTGGTTTTTATTTTTTGGTTTAAATTGGATTTGTCATCATAAAGTTTTACTTTGAAAAGTAATATTTGCTTATTAAAAGCTCCAGAGAGTATATATTCGAAGACAACATTTTCATGTACCCCTCAGTCTAGCTCCAAGGGATGTCTCCTTTTCTTTCTCCCTTCTTGCTTGTCTTTTACTTTGGAAGTACAAAGCAGCAGGTTTTTTGGTCTTTTCTTTCAAACCTGTCTCACTGAGGACCTCCTGTTCTGATTTTCTGGTTGAGAGCATCATCTGATAATAAACTTTTGTTGTACAACTAAGAACAAACAGACCTTAAGGGGCAAACTTTAAAAAATGCTTGTTTATTCTTAAGATATAATTTACATAATCTGGATAGTATTATTAGAAATATTTTTTCTCAGAGCTCCTAGTTTTTGGACTTTTTTTTCCTCCAGAAGCAACTTAGGAGACCACCCTTTTAAAGAGTCAGAACTTCTTACCTTGTTTGACAAAATAATTGAGAAAAAGCTGTGAAAAACAATTCCAGCATCACCCAAAAAAATCCCTATTATTGTCTATAATCTGACTTGCTGCTTTTTGTTTTGCACTGTCTTCTGAATTAAAACTTTTGGTAACTTGTCTGCCTTAGACAAAAGAACAAGGCTGTGTTCATTTCCTAGGGCTGCAGTAATAAAATGCCACAAACTGGTTGGTTTAAAACAACAGAAATGTATTCTCTTACAGTTTGGATGCTAGAAGTCTGAAATCAAAGTGTTAACAATGTTGATTCCATTCTGGAAACTCAGGATCTGTACCATGCCATTCTCTTAGCTCCTGGTGACTGCCTGGCAATCTTTGGTTTTCCTCCTATTGGAGAAACTCATGTCTCAGTCCCAGTGGTCACCTGGTCCCTGTGTGTCTGTGTCCAAATTTCCCTTGTCTTATAAGTACACCAGTCATTGGATTAGAGCCCACCCTATCCATTAGGACCTCATTTTAACTTGATTGCCTCTGCAAAGACCCTGTTTCCAAATAAGCTCCCATTCACAGGTACTTGGGGTTAGGACTTCAACATACCTTTTTTTGGATTATACAATTCCACCCACAACAAGGGTCAAACTGACACCTTTCCTTAAACAGTAAGTTAATTTTCCTTGGTTTAAATTGTAATCATTGATGATACTAAATTGAAGTTTAAAATAGTGTCTGTAATACTTGAATTTGAGAATTTGCATGTTTGATAGAAATCTTCCTTTCCCTTATTAATTTTCAACATATTTTAAAAATAAAATTCATATTCTGCCTAAGTTTATACATTAATAATAGTTTAGATTCTACATGTTTGTATTAAAAAAAAAAATCAAAGTCATTGCCATGAAGTTGATTCTGACTCATAGCGACCCTCATTGGGTTTCTGAGGCTGTAAATTCTTAGGGAAGTAGATTGCCCCGTCTTCCTTCTCTGGAGCGGCTGGTGGGTTTGAACTGCTGACCTGGTTAGCAGCCAAGTACTTAATCTACTACCCCACCACAATGCCTTACATGTTTGTATATTATATATTTAATCCACTTCCTTTTAAAATTAGTTTCTATTCCATTGTGGGGGTAGATACATAGTTTATATATACTATGTACTTTTAAAAATGGGTCATATTTTTTAACACCTGAAGAAAGAAAAAGCATTATTCTTTCATCTACTTTTTGATGATGACTTAATAAGGGGGAGATGAAGAATGGCATGAATGACAGCCAATCATCTTCTCATTTTTATTAGTACTGTATTTCATCTTGATAGTTTTTAAAATGAAAATAAAAAGGTAAATGAAAGGTTGGAAACATTTTTGAGTTCTACTTAAATGTACTTAATGATCAGTTTATGTTTATAATAATAGGATATGCTAAAAATAAATGTGCAGATGTTCAGGATATAAAAAGTTGGTTAAGGAAACCCTTTTGTATATGACTAAATAATTGAAGTAAAATATTAGTGAAAAATTTTTATTCTGATTCTTATTATTTAGGCTTTAACTTGTTCAAATAAAATAAGCTGCAATTTATATGAAATCTTTCGAGTAAAGTAATTATATATGTGAAATCAGAGTATTGAAAAAGTTAAATTCACCTTTGTGTATAATCATTTTTATGTATAAAGTTTCTGTCATTCCAAGCTCTGGGTACATATGTACATATTCCAAAATAACATATATATAACCGAACTATTAATTCAGATTGTTAGAAAAGACAAAGTTGAAATGGTGGACACTGCCAATTTAAGATTAAATTTTAAAAGCAACTTTGCCCATTAGAATAAAATGTAAGCCAGTAATGCAAGCCATGCAATCAAAAAGGGAAAAAGAAACAGGTGAAATTAATTTCAATATTTTTTTTTAACTCAAAGTATCCAGAGTATTATAGTTTCTACATATAGTCAATGTATAACAGTATGAAATATTTTACAGTCTTCTTTTTGGTGGCATAGTGGTTAAAAATGTTCAGCTGCTAGCCAAAAGTTGATGGTTAAACCTGCCAGCTGCTTCGTGGGAGAATGATAAGCTGTCTGCTTCTGTAAAGATTCACAGCCTTCAACACCCAATAGGGAAGTTCTACTCTGTCCTGGAGGGTCACTATGAGTCAGATTCGACTTGATGGCAGGGATTTTGTGTTATTTTTGGAAATGTTTGATAGTCAGTGTGTATTTTGTACTTACAGCACATTTCAATTTGGACTAGCCACACTTAAAATTTCAAATTTCAAAATTGTGATTAGGTATTCCTTCTTGGTAGTTCAGTGGAATTCTTATTTCCCATGTAGGGGACTCAGGTTCAGTTCTTGACCAGTGCTCCTCAAGCACAGCCACTATCCATCGTGTGTGGCTGTGAGGCTGAACAGGTTTCAGCTGAGCTTCCAGGCTAGAATGGATTATGAACAAAGACCTGGCAATTTACTTCTAAAAATCAGTTGATGAAAACCCTATGGATCACAACAGAACGTTGTCTACTCTGCAGCCAGTCCTGGCAGTGGCATCACTAGGGTTGGTGTTACCCATTGTAGTAACTCATGGTGTCATGCCCCCAAAACACCCCCCCCAGATGTGTGAAGCAATCCAGCACCACCCCTCCAGGCCCCACATCCAGCAGCTCCTGACAGCTTCTCCCTCTCCCATTGGCCAAGGTGGAGACCCTTTTCTCTGCCCAATGGCATGTGCAGCAGCCTACCCACACCCTGACTGGCAGGTGATGGGGAAGGTGGTGTTGGCAAGTTACTGCACTGAGTGATGGAGGTGGAGGTGACAGTTACTGCAATTAGTGATGGAGGTGAGGGTAACGAGTTACTGAATTACTGCACTAGGTGACAGGTGACACCAACCTGGTGGTGACACCACTACCTTGGTGGCCCTTTCCTCTTCCTACAGTTCCAACCCACCAGCCTTTCCAGTGGACTCTGGGGTCATTTTGGTGTCACCTCCTGTGACAGTGTCAGAGGGTGTGGCCCCTACCCTGTTTCCCTGCACTCATCTAGTGATGCCACGGGCCTACAGGGATGATGCAGGACTGGGCAGCATTTCGCTCATTGTGCATGGTGTCGCAATGAGTTGGCCAATTTGACACATACTAATGACATTTTCTTTTTTATTACCAGTTCCTTTCATGTATTTAACCATATATAGCTGGAATCTCAAATCAATACATTTTCAAAACACTGTCTATAAAATCTTCTTTTAAATGACACTCTGAATGGTTACTATTACTTGTTTTTCTGTGCTTGTTTACATAGTGAAATCAGAGTATCTAAGGCTGGGTAGGTAGGAGGGAAGGTTCAATATTCTTGTTTTCCTTCATTTTCTTTCCTTTGGAATACATCTTCTCCTTGAAAAAATGCAGTCACTTTGGTGATTATTCTCAGATGTGGCAGACTTCCATATGCTTCTTTTAAAGGACAGGTGCTTGGTTTCAGATGAGTATATTCTTAAACCAAGTGAAATAATACCATTATTACTTAAACCAATATTACTTAAACCAAGTAAAAATAATTTCATTCTAAATTTTCATGAAATTTGCGATTTAATATCTGTATTTTAAAGATTGCAGATGCTTCTGTTTTTTAGGATGTGAATTTTTGTTTTTATCTGTTCTTAAATTGTGTCAAATGTTTTTGATTTGAATATTACACAATAGAAATCCTTGGAGAAAGCATTTAGAATCACATCTGTACTGCTAAGTGTTTTCCATTTTCAGTCACTAATAAATAGGATGTTAAGCTCTTATTACTAATACAGAATATCTGTGTAGTGCTTTCAGTTTTACGTACATCATTAACCCTTGAAACAACCTTGTTATGTAGGTATTGTTAGCCTCATTGCATGACTGGGGACAATAGATTGGACAGGTTTAATTAAATTGCCCGCATGACTTGAATGTCTCAATGTGTTTGTCAGGTGTTTACTGTGCACCATGCTGATGCTGATGGGACCTGTGTTTGAATTCTGCCATAATATATAAAAAGTTAAAAATGGTTAAGACCTGATGCTGCTGTCTTTTGAAACAATGTAAGATAATTCCATAAAAGCTACTTGTCTATAATTTTTGATGGTTTGTAATATTCTTTAAATACTGTGAAATCCTTTTTTAAAAAAAACTAAAGAATGCTAAGGATCGATTGTGTCAGAATAAATAAATACTACTACAACTTTCTTTATAATATTTGGTACAACTTTCTTTAAATTACTATCTTCCTTTTTTAGCTCCTGGGAAATCAAGCCCTAAGGGTCTACCAAACAGAAAGGGTGTCCGAATAGGATATCGCTCTCAGAGCCTCAATAGGGAACCACTTCGGAAAGATCCTGATCTTGTTACAAAACGAGTTCTTTCTGCAAGACTACAAAAAATCAGTGAATTGCAGAATGAAGTGACTGAACTCCAGGTCAAGTTAGCTGAGCTGCTAAAAGAAAACAAGGCTTTGAAAAGGCTTCAGTATAGACAGGAGAAAGCCTTGAATAAATTTGAAGATACAGAAAATGAAATCTCACAACTTATACTTCGACATAATAATGAGATTATAGCACTCAAGGAACGCCTAAGAAAATCTCAAGAGAAAGAACGGGCAACTGAGAAAAGAGTTAAAGATACAGAAGGTGAACTCTTTAGGACAAAATTTACCTTAAATAAACTGAAAAAGATCTCTGAAGCTAGACACCTACCTGAACGGGATGATTTGGCAAAGAAACTAGTCTCAGCAGAATTAAAATTAGATGACACTGAGAGAAGAATTAAGGTAAAATTTCTGCGGCTTCTAATCAGTCTGCCTTGTGCTGTTTCTCGTTGGGCATTTACTATGTTTGGGTTAAGCAGCTTATTATGGTTTGCCATTTACTTGGAAGTTGAAACTATTTTCAGTGTTACTTTGTGAGTAAGAAATTATAAATCTAAGATTTTATATTATAGAGCAAGATGTAAAGACTGTGTTATCTTAATTGGCCACAAGGTAATAGATGAATGCTTAACTCCATGGATTTTGACAGTTTTGAAAAATGTTCCATTTGATTATTTGAGTCTTCTACTAAAATTGAAAATGATACAATAATCAAATGTTGTGTGTAAAACTGACATTTTGGGGCTGTTGTGTAAGAAATGCCACGAGCCATGTCTTCTGTTTTTATCTCTTTGCATGTTTGTGGTTGATTAAGTTAGTTATGGTATATCTTTTGGGGTAGGGTGTGCCCCCACTCCCTAAAATAAAAACTGGTATGAGGGGATATGTGAGAGAATGTTGAATAACTAATTTGAGAATACAACAGATCTTTAAAAATATTTTTTTTCTTAAGATGGAGAGAGGAAAAGAGTACCCCATGACTGTTACATAGGGAATTCATGTTAATTTACACCAGCCAGCCACTCCTTGGAAGGAAGGTTGGGCAATCCTACTTCCGTAGTGATACTGCCTCGGAAACCCAAGGAGGGGTCGCTATGAGTCGGGGCCGACTCGACGGCAAATAACAACAACAACAACAATGTATATTAAACAGAAGCCCTGAGTCAGGTCCTAATGCTTAGAATTGGTAAGTAGTTTAGAAAGCATAGGTAGGGAAAGATTATAGGACTAATGCCTACTGCGAGAGCTGTCTGAGCAAGAAAAGCTCAGAACTATAAATCCTAGTTTTCTGCAACATATTAAGTAGGTATTTTTAATATGTAGCATGTTACAGTACTTCTTTGTCTGTATAATGTACTATGCCTAAAATACCAATGCCATGCCCAAAGGCAGTAGCTTATTAAATAGAGTGTACATCAGTGGTCAGACAAAGTGCTTAAGTTATTTTCTTAAAAAAAATCTAGGAGTTCAATTGTGGTGTTTCACTTTGCAGATTAAAACTAAAAAACGTCCTAGTATCCCTTGAAATTTCAGTAAAATTTTAGTAATTCCATCTTTAAATTCTGTGCTATTCTTTTCTAAGATGACTGGCTGTATTGTGTTAGTTTTTTGTTTTTCTTTTGGTGTAGCTTTTTGTTTTAAGAGTCTGTCTTTAAGTTGGAACTTGTGGTAGGCAGTTTTGTTTGTTTATAGCTTGCCTCCTTCCAGGAAGGATTTCAAAGCATAGCTGTTATTCCCCTTGTTACCAACATTTTCTTCTTGGGAAAAAAAAAACAAGACCAACATTGTTCAGGTTTACCTGTAACTGGCTGAGCTGAGGAAAACTTGAAAACTTAAGCTGTGGAAAACTCTCTCCCAGTTATCTGAACAGCAACCTGTAAGTTGGATACAGGCTAATTTTTTAGATGTTGGAATCTCAGTTACTTAGGAGTACGTTGATTTAGAAATGGAGACGTGGTTGAGAAATAAAAAGTCAGTGGTATAAGATAAGACAACCCTTTCTGCCTAGAAATCAGCTTGTCTTGTGCAAAATGTTTCCCCAGCCATATCCCGGGGATGGAGAATTACTTGGTGGGGTTAACTTGCTTGCTAAGGTCTGCACAAAAGTCCAGTCAGCTAAATCAGACTGCGTATTTACTTCCTCATTTAGAGTTAGCTTTATACTTTTATTTTGTTTTTTACCTCAGTAAATTTCTTGAATAGGGGCCTGTCAAATTAGTAGCCCAAATTTATTATTTATCTAATATTAATAATTATACATATTATTTAAAATTTAGCATTTAAATAAAACTGTAACACATGCACAACCAAATTTTCACAGCAGAAAAACGTTTTTAATCCATCCAGCAGTTTTAAGTCCCTGTAAGGAAATCAGGACAAACAAGAGTGCATAACTATGAGGGGCATTGGGGGGATAGTTACTAGGCAGGGAGAAAAGGAGACTGGGTTAGGCTTGGGCGTGGTAAGTGGGGAATGAAACTAAATGTACAGGTAATGTTGAATGTAAACCAAACTCTTAAAATAAATATTTAAAATAAAAGGAAAAAAAATTAAAAAATTGAAGACCCCCCTCCAAGAGCTTTTGTTAATGTGGATGTATCTGTTGATATTTACCATATTAGATGTGAAAATTGAGAACATTTAAAAATATTTCTTAATTTACTTTAAAAATAACTCATTACATTTTATCATAAATATTTTAATGGAAAATACCAAAAAAAAAGGAAAACGTGGCATTGTTTTATGTATTTTCAAACCTTCTAATGTATGGCTTAAAAGAGAACAGCTGGATCCTCCTATCTGCTTCTGCATCCGGTCTGTGGTGACGTGTTTTAGTTGAAGAAAATTGTGAAGAAAATTCAGCCTCATACAAATGTGTACAATGGTTAGAAAATGGCAGAGTATTTTAATAGCCTTTTCAGATAATTGGATATTTTTCTTTGATACTGTAACAAAACTCAACAAGTGGTGGGTTTTATTATTATTATTATTATTTTATTGTGCTTTGGGTACAAGTTTACAGAGCAAAATTACTTTTACATTCAACAGTTCATGTACATTTGATTTCACACCCCAGTTACAATCCCCAACCATAACAAACTGTCCTCCCATCCCATCCCTGTGACTACCTCCTCCCTGTGCCTTTCTTAACTCCTATCTATCCAGCTTTCCTTCTATGTGAATGCTGCCCCTCTGGTGCCCCATAGGAGATTGCTCTAAGGGGTGTATCTCCCTAGAGTAGGTGGGTGTATTGCCCTGGGTAGGTGTTCTGCATTAAGGTCTTTCTGCTGTTGGGCTGAGAGCCAATCCATGGGGGTGAGTCCAATTCCAGGCCTGAAGGGTAACCCGGGTCATAGTCTCGGGGGTTCTACCAAACTCTACCTGACAGTGATTCTGGTCATTTTTGTGTTTTTTTTTTTTTTTTTAATTTTGTTCTACATTTCTCCTCCCACTCTATTTAGGATCTCCAGTTTTGATCTCTTTCTGAGTGGTTGGCATTGGTAGTTGGGTACCATCTAGTTCTTCTGGTCTTGGGGTCCATCATATCCTTGGACTAAGTGGTGTTTCTTAAAGGTTAGTTTCTGCATGAAATCAGAAACCATATCAATGAACATTTTGTGCTCTATCATGTTAAAATCCATTGTTCTTTCTTGCACTTTGAATAGATGTTTTACCCATGCATGATCTTGTAACATTAAGCACTGGTCATTTGGGGAATACTGCTTCACTGAGTTAGGGATATTTTCCAAATGTTGACATGTTGTATTATACATTATCACCTGTCATGTAGCCTTTGGAAGATTCACCTATAAATTCATCAGACAATAAGAATGAAAACAGCAAATAGTATCTTATAATTATGAAATAGTTTTGACCTTGAAGAACCCTGAAAATATCTCAGGGACCTTTAGGGGTCTCCATACTATTCGTTGAGAACCCTTAATATAACTAACAGAAGCAGTTCTTTTATTAGCAACTTCATTAGCAAGTCCCACAATATTCAGTTTCTTTTAGTGACTACCAAACTGCACCATTGTTTACTGTGCCTGCAACTGGCCTCTCTAATAGACGCCAAACACCTCAAAACACTTACAGTTAGGATTGCATTCCTAACCAAAGATGTAGTAACAAATTAATCATAGATATGACAAATGGTATGTCATAAGTGAAATTGCAACTATCATAAGACTCTTTGTTAAATGTGTTATTATAACCTAAGTCTTAGGAAAAGATCAGAGATGTTATACCATGTACATGATTATCAAAAGAGCTCAGGTAAAGTGTACATGTAGCACATGAAAAAAAAAAAAAAGACTAACATTGAGTTGGCACCAAGTAAATTGCCTTGACAGAAAAACATAATGAAACCAAAAAACTTAGTAGCCTTAATATCATAAACCTTTCAAAGAAGTTTGAATAAATTTATTTTTCTCTTAAAAAAGAAACTGGCATTCACATTCCCTTGACCCTACAGTTGCCTTCAAGTAGGTATTTTAATTATTGTGAAAGATATTGCCTCCCACTGTGAACTATTTTCAAAAGTAGGAATTGCTTCAGCATTATCTACTGTAGAACTAGAAATGAGCTCCTCTAGTATTGGACCAAGGAGCTCTGGTAGTGTAGTGCTTAAGGCACTTGACTGCTAAACAGAAGGCTGGTGGTTCAAACCCACCAGCCACTCCTCAGAAAGAAGGTTGGGCAATCTACTTCCATAGTGATACCACTTTGGAAACCCAAAGAGGTGTCACTATGAGTTGGGGCCGACTTGACGGCACATAACAACAACAGTATTGGACCAAGTGATGTGACTGGAAATTAATTAACGCTGATAAGTCCCATTTATTTTCATCTTTCTCTGGCATATCTTACGCTAATGGCTAGGAATCTACTCTAAAAGATTTTTTGTTCTGTTACCTTACAGAAACCCAAATCCAGAAACCATTTCTCTCTATTTTGCCTACCTGATCTATACTATTTCTGACAAGTGAAACTGATTAAGATGGAATAGTGAACTCTAACCAAGGGGTCATCTCTGTCCTTGTCCTACTCTGATTTTGTGCAGCTCTTTTTAACTCTTGATTTCAGTTATTTTGCTAAGGAGTTAAATTGATGACTTAGGAATTCCCTTTCATTTTTGAAATATGATGAGTCTGAATTCATACTTTTAAGCCAAAAGCATTTTTAACATATGAAAACATAAATTACTTTTTAAAAAGTTTTGAAAAGGGAGACTGCTTGTAATAGAAAATCTTATATGTTTAGATTCTCCTTATTTCTATTATATAGTAATTGAAGAATTAACTAGATGTTGTTACACACACAGACATACACACACACACATATGTATATATGAAAAACTCATTGCTGTTGAGTCGATCCTGATTCATAGTGACCCCTCCTTGGGTTTCTGAGGTGGTATCTCTATGGAAGTAGATTGCCCAGTCTTCC